ATTTTCATGGTTAAAGTAAGAATGATTAAAATAATAAATAATTAAAATGATAATATAACAATTATTTTCAATTGATATAGAAAAAAATCTTCTGTTTTTCCATGAATATCTCTACACTTTGGTGAATAATTTTTCTTGTTCAAATTACTGCACTCATTTGTTTTCTATCAGTTATTATATAAACTTTACAATTTTTTGAACCATATTTTCTATGAATTTGATAGAAATAAATTCATTTTTAATACGTAAAAAAATAACATTTATACCGGCACAATAATTTTGTATAGTTTGTTTTCGTGCTTCATTTTATTTTATAGAAATATAAATTATTTTTTATTAAGCAAAGTCAAGCTTGAATGCATATAAACAATTTAAACCCAATTACTGTATTTGTGTATTTCATTAATATATTTGTCACAAAGTATAAATTGTTTGCAATGTTTACCAATTAATAAAATTGGTAACCGTATAATTTTTCATGTAAATATGAATCGAACAATTTAAAATAAATTAAAAAATATAACGGAAAATTTCTGAAATTTCAACTTATTACATAAGTAGTCTCCAACTTTCGGACGTAATACATAAAGTGTACGAAAATCGAACACTAGAGTTTCACAAGGGAAGTTTCATTCTTAGAACTAAAAAAAACAAGAAAAGAAAAATCTCTTATTACGATAGAAAAAGTTTTAGTTTTATCGTGAATATATTATAATGCATAAAACATTATTTAAAACAATAAAACCATAATTTAAACAGAAAATAAACAATAAAAGTTAAGTTTCATAATGATTTTGATTATTGTTATCGAAACCAAAACTGGCAGTAAGAGACACTGTATAACTCGAAATTTCTGTTAGTTGAAAATGCACAAAAATCTGAATTTGGCGGACGAAAAGGATACTGTATTAAAGTATATTATGTATAAAAGAACGAACTGTCCGAAAGTCAAGGACTGTGTTGTATCGATAAAATTCCAAAAAAGTGATCTGAACGAAATTTAATTTTCCTATTTAGTTTAATAATGTATCATAGAAGTTAAATACGTTCTTTTTTTATTGTATCAATGGTAACAAATTTACTTAAAACTACGTACTGATTAAACCTAATTAAATACTTATTTTATGGATAACTAATATTTTAGTACACAATTCTTTAAGTACATTTCTTTAATTGAAAATTAATTTTTTATTTTCTAGTTGTACACAATTAGGAAACTATAAATAAAAATGTCTTATTTATTGGAACTACATTACAATTTTTTACTTTGCTGCCTTCAATCAAAATCAGTAATCTGTTATAAGCAAATCATATGATAAATTCTTTCTTTTAGCAACCGCAGTATTGTACTAACCGTGCACTGGTGAATTTTTTCTCGGGTGACTGTTTAGTCACAGTCGTCGTCTTATCGTCGCAGACTACTTAAATGATCACGCGGTGAATAGCGAGGTTACGGCCGAAGTTTTCAACGCAAAAACGTGAACGTCGGACGTTCAGCGCCGCCATTCTGTAAGTCTAGAAGTTTGACAATAGCGTTTGGAACGTAGCGACGTTCACGTTTTTGCGTCGAAAAATTTGGCTGCAACCTCGCTATTGACTGCCATCCCAAAACTTATGTTTAATTTCATCATTCGTCAGTATCTCGTAGAAAGCTGTCTGATAACAAATGATAGCGAACCAATACAAAATAACCAGAGATTACCTCCAACAACAAATCCTCCCGGGCGACAAATTGAAGCAAAACACACAAATGTATAGTATATGGCAGAAACGCAGAAATAATCCGAATGTTTTCTCTGAGGTATATCTGAAAAGCTACTGATATATACACAGAAGTTACTGATATATTAGGAGCTCTGTTAGCGGGACTATTCGTCAGAAAGGATTTCACTGTCGGGTTGTTGTTAAGTTAAACTATGCACTGCTACGCGGTGCCGTTGAGAGCGTTGCTAAACTCATTTTCATGAGCCAGCGATCTTCGCAGCTGTCTCACTGGTTCGAGGTTAAATCTGCAGCGCTTGTTTCAGTTGCTTTTCTCCAAGGACTATATACTACAAGGATAGCCAGATCCCTATTCTACAATGTTAGCCAGGAATGCCAAGTTAGTGACGTCATGTAGAGACCTGACCTCTCTGTTTACATAGAGCAGGGTGTGCACGTGTTTAGTTTTCGCTTTTAATATTCGTCCAATTTTGTGATTAACGAAGTGATTTATTTTAATATTTCTGTAATTGTTTTATTTGACTAAGTTTTTTATAAGGTAAGATGATTTAAATATAAGTCATTAAATATTTAAAGCTATATTTTTATGTTAGGTGAAGAACAAAATGCTGAGTACTAGGTGTGCTGTGTATGGTTGCAATAATAACCTTCTTTTTTCAAATTGGAAGCAACCTGTTTACATCGGGTTTGATCAAAAAATGACAAGAGAAATACTTTTAAAATTAATAGCAGAACTTTATTTACTATCGTATAATGTAGTAGCTTGCGTCAGTGACTGTAGTTGCAGTAACATAAGTTTATGGAAAGAATTGAATGTGAATATCAATGAAACGTTTATTATGAATCAATTATTATTATCAATGAAACGTATATTAGAGATATAAATATGTGGTTCGACATTTTTAATAGCTATGCACCAAAAGGTTCTGTTCCAAGCAAAAATGGATATGGTGTAGACTTGGAATTACAAGAAGAACATTTAAATAAAATGATAAAAATAATCTCAACAATGAGAGCAAGTGGAAAAAATGCCCTCCAAATTTTCCAGAAAGGAATGATAATCTCAATGAAATCGCTAATTGATCTTTTTCAAGATATGAAATCGACTTTTGATATAAAATACATCTGCACTCACAATTTAAATCAAGATTGTCTGGAAAACTTTTTTTTTTAAAATAGAAGCCGGGGTCCTAATGAACATCCAAGCCCATTAAATGCTATATATAGGATTAGATTGATTATTTTAGGTAAGAATCCTGGTATTTTAGAGTCAAAAGTAAATACTACAGATCGAAGACAAGAGGAATATATTATACCCAAAGTTTTAGAGAAAGCACATGTAGAAGTATCAAGTGAAAATACAGACCAATATACTGAATGTAAAACTACTTTTTCTTCAAATAAATCTTCAGGAAACTCTACATGCAATCTAGACTTTAACACAATCTCTGAAGAAACTTCCTACGATGCTCTCGAGTATATAGCAGGATATTTTGCCTATAAATATAAAGAAAAATACCCAAACTTAATTAATTCCACTAACAAAATTAAAAATCATTACAACTATAGCATTCCGTCATGGGTGCAACATTTATCTTATGGAGGGCTTATTAAACCTACTGATGAATGGCTAGCAAAAATTATAGAATGGAATAAATATTTCGAAATATATCACGATGAATCGTATAAAAAAGGCCCCGGAGTTGTACAGAATTAGTCAGTGGAAACAGTTTTACCTTTTACTTTAATAAAAGATTTTTGTAAATTAAGAACTATAATAAGAATTAATTATAGAAATCTTAAACAAGAAAACTATAAAATATTGAAAAGAATGCCTTCTGAAAATGGTGATTGTCGAAAAAAAATTAAAAAGTTAAGTAAAATAATCACATATTAAAAAATATAGCTCATTAATTTGTTAAATAAATATTACACAAAACACTTGTAAATTTATTGACGTACAGTACACTTATTAAATCCGAAAATTCTACAGTAGTTTACATTTAGTAGTAATTTAATAATTAATTAAGAACTGATTTAATATTTTATCGTATTTTGTTATTTAAAAGGTCTGTCATGTTGAAGTAGAGGGCTTGCTGTGACGTCACATAGATCCAAGGTCATGCTAACAAATATACGGGATCTGGCTATCCTTGAAGTTTAAAGTCCTTGGCTTTTCTCGCTGCAACAAGATGGCTACCTCCACGGTGGAAATGTGTGAAGTTGATTTCTTATATGATGTGACAATAAAAGTGTGAGGTTTTGATCACCTTGATTTGTTATTCTGTTTGTACTAATTTTTCTTTTAAAATACTCATTAGTAAAATAAAATATTTGACAAAACTTTTATATTGAAGATGTTTTACTATCTACTTTATGCTGCAGAAAGAAGCTGCTTACATTAAATTTAAATCGTTAATTTTACTTCTCAAAGTCTTATATCACAAAAATGAATTACTTTTAAAATGTTTCGAATTAAATAATTCGCAAAACATTTTAACAGCTACGCCGAGATCCACCATTTTTAAATTGCAGCGCTACTCTGCGTGCAATGTTAAAACACCTTTAGCAGTGAATTTAACAAGGCATGTATATATAGCTTATTACATTTTGTCGCAAAAGTGCGCTACTATCGGTGTCAGTTTTACGCAAATTTTTCTATTTAATTTTGTGTATACTATATTTAATACAGTAATAATTGACTATTAGTGAGACCCTGGGCTGGGATGAAAAACATTCTTTTAACCATATATGCAAACAGAAACGAATCTTGATCTTCGCGATTAATTAAAATTAAGGGAACTAAATTATAAAAGAAAACGGGAAAAATAAAATTACAGTATTTTAATATTAAAACCACATGGTAAAAAAGGAAAAAAATTAGTAAATGAGATTCGCCATGCGGTGTTTCCGCAGTGTTAATGTTTAGTAGTGTTATCCAATCGGTCACTGGTAGACTTAATTTACTTAATTTAGGAGGAGATCAGTTTAATTATTTAATATAAACTCGATTGCAATATTTGAGAGGTTTCAATTTTGTATGTTAACAAACACGAATGATGCATTCAATCTTGAGTATCATTCAATAGATAAAAATATTACTGATGTCATAATTAAGTAGTTGTGTATAAAACTTTATTACAATTCATTGCAACATATTATTAATTTTTGAAAATATGTTATAAGATTGGTCTTGCATAGATAACAGTAATTTTCTGTTTTCAATTTAAAAGTCTATAAAATCACTCAATGAAAAAACTAAAATATAATAAACTCACTTTATGACCTAATTAGTTCATGGAAAAACTTTTGTAAAACGAGGGTCCACTTTATGTAGTCTATTGAAGATATAAGACCCTGCAGATAAAAACTATAAATTGTTACTAAATGTTAAAAACACATATAGTATTTTAATTAAACATTATAATTAAATTGTATAAATTGGTTAAAGTATAACTTTTATAAAATTAAAAAATAAAATTTTCCGTATTTTCAGAAATTGCAGTGTTCTAAATGCGCGTATTCAATATTTTAATCAATGTAAAAATTAATTTGTAATAAACTAAGACTTACACGATTCTTCATAATTTTGAATAGATGTAATAATTCTAAACAAGCAAATTCGAAACCTAAACAAGTTGAAGATTTCCGAAAATTATGATGTAGAAAAATTACAGAGAATCAGAATCAATTGATTATTTATTCAAAGAAATCGCATGCGATTATTTAGAATGAATTGCGCGACTCGAAGAAATGAAATGATAATAGAATCCATTCAAATGTTTTATTATTTCGTGTGTTATGCAACTTTTGAGAAATATTTATAAACATTTTTTACATGAACACGTGAAAGTCTAACGAATTTAATTAAAAACTACAAATCTATAAACGAAAGATTACGCTAAATTTCTTATCTTAAAGTTAGAACATTAAACTTTTCAGATTTCAAATAAATAAATACAAAAATATTAAACCGCAGTTATGAAAAAGTTAATCAGAAAAAAATATTTACATCTAAAACTATAACCGACCGATATGTAGACGCAAAATACCAGCATATACTCGTAAGATTGATCCCAATTTTATCATTTCGGGTAACTTGATCCGTTATAGAATTGACCAGTATAAAATGAATAATAATAAACGATTTAACGACCCGAATTTTTTATGATAAATTATGAGGATTTATATTTTATGTATTCGAGTCTAGAACATTTACGATGGAAAGATACTACTTTTTTGTTTTGATTCCTTCCGTCCAATTGGCATCAAGATGGCTCTTTTTCCATACCCATCTTGGGTTCGGCTAGGTCTACAATGGTGACGACCGGGTGATGAAGGACGGAGCCCGATATACTCTGAACGGATCACTCACGAAAAATTCGTGATATTTTTCGATCACCCTGATTTGATCTCCGGTCCCTCAGTAGACTTTACCCGCTAAGCGAGTAAGGCCGAATACATATACATTGTGATAAAAAGTCTGCATATATGGCTCCAACAATATATTATTTACATATTATTTTATTGATCAAAAATCTATCTTTATAACTATTTCTATATTAAGAAATCATCAGATCGATAAAAAGAAAACCCAAACTTAAAATAACTCCGATAATAAATCGATAGATAGAATCCCTGGGAGGTTTCTTAAATTTTTGATTTTTTTAAATAATAAAATTAATTTTTTGTAAACAAGTAAATTATTTGCAGTTATTAAAAATTATTATAAATACATTATTTCATATTACTTAAGATTGCGTTTAAAAAGAAATATGCAATAGTTTATAAAATTACATCATATCAACATGATTCATTTTGATGATATATTATTCATAAATAATTTTTTTTTCTAAAATTAAATTATAAAAGTTTAATTATTTTTAATATATTAAATGAAACTTTTCAAAATTATATTTTAAAATAAATAAAATTTTATTATTCTCAGATTAGTAGGTGGCTCTTTTTCTGCCCATCCGAGTGATCAACACCATCTTCTAAGTTTTCGTTATCGGTTTGATGTTCTTTTTACTGGGATGATATGATATTTGTGAATTACCGAGAAAGAAATAATACATCTTAAATCGAAAATTAGTAATTACGATATATATATACATTGTACTATATGGACTTAATTGTACAATTCAATGTTTAGCCTTAGTAATTCAATTTGGCAAATTCAGGTGAGATCTCTTACGTGCACGTTATAGTATGGTTGTGTTATGATTCAATTATTATTACATAATTAGAATTGGTATTTGATAAGATCAAGCGTTTCATGAAATTTATAATTTAAACTATGAAAAGTTGTGAAAATCAAATTAGTAAATTCATCACAATCTTTGCTAATCTTAAACAGATTTTAATGGTATGAAAGGAGTTCTTGAATACAATATGAATTCCACCGATAATGCATAATGAGAATAAAGAGAATCATTCTAAATCCTGGTTTTTGCTATGAGGAAAACCATATTGTTAGATAGCAATAACAGTCTATTTATTAGTGGTATTGTGTACAGTATATATACTTATATTATAGAAAAGAAATGCAGGAAATACATTGGTTCCTGATTATCCAAGTTCCGATTATTTGAGGTTCCACTTTATTGTAGGCCAGCCAAGTGGTCAAGGTGGCAGCATACCGCTCTTGGAGACCCAGGATCAAATCTGGACAGGTCGTAAAATCCCCAGGACTTTTTTGGGGGTGATCCAATCCCTGAAAAATTTGGCCCGTGTCTCTCACCATCTGATGCCTTGTTGTGGAACTGGCTGAACCCATAATCAGCTTGCTATAAGAAGCCCTCTTAGTGCCCACAGGGTGGAAAGAGCAAAAAAAAATTATTGTAAGCAAACCTGTAAGTGAACATGCTACTTTTTTTATAATTTGTAAAAGCTTTGCTGTGAATGCACGAAGAATATAAATATTGAAGTACTTTTAACCTTAACTGTACTGATTGGCTGATGCTGAGGTGACATTTTTAAAAACTCATTCTGCTCTATGGGACCTAAGAGGGTCTTTTTTCCTTGTCTGTCATGGGTGATCTGTCCTCACTGTCCTTATTGTGGGTCTGGCCCATAGTAAAAACTGAGGGACAGAGTCTGACATATCTGGAACAGATCACTCATGAAAAATGAAGCTAAGGTGACTGTGGAACATTGAGCAAAGTAGGGAAGAATTAAGGATCATACTGTTTTCCATAAGTGAAGAACATATCAATCTAAAATAAAAGACTACCTTTTAAGAACTGGACCTACTAAACTGAAACATGACCTCCATGCTAAAAGTGAAAGTACTGGCCATAGATAAAAAAACTATCAACAGTTTTGAAGTTTCATCCCCGAAAGAATGGTAGCTCCTAGACTTTTTGGCACGGTGAAATTTCACAAACTGGGTTGACCCTTATACTAATGTTAGAAAAGTCCTTTGTTCCTTATCACACTAGAGTGAGCATTACATGCTCTTCTTATCTCATTAGGTTTTAGCTCTGATTATTCTATCAGCAGCTACAGTAGAACCTTGATTATCCGCCCTAATTGGGAACTGGGGTTGGTCGGATAATTGAAAAGTCGGATAACCGAAAAGTATGAAAAAATCCATTATTAGTGTAGTATATTATTATATCCCATGTAATTAGTATATTAGTATATCGCTATTAACCTATTTTGCGTTGAATTTTCATCAATGTTAAGCTTAACAAAAATTTTTTAAAATAATAATCGTCGCTATTGTATCGTTAAAAATTAGAAAATTAAGCTTTGTTTAAATACTGGCTCCCTTTCATGGTCGAATGAGTGTTGCCAGCTAAAACACGTAAAAATAATATTAAAGTAGCCAAGACATAGCCAAATATTGTAGCGCCACATCACTAGCGGACATTTGAAATTTGCCGACTAGGACGGTCGGTTGATCGGGGGGGCGGATAATCGAGGTTCTACTGTATTAGACGTCATTAAAGCCCTTACAAAAGCCAAATGTAAGCAAGCTGACACAATTACAGTGCTTGACTATGAGAATTTATTTTCCCCTAACTTGGATTCATATGTGCACTGGCAATTATGTGACAATGGTCCATAAATTAGTGATCTTTCATGTCCTTATAAGAGCAGTAACACTCGTCTTTACCTATTCATAAACAGCAAGAATTCTACTACATCACTTGAACAGCACTTTCACATGGCTTCTCACTCTTGGTAGTTAAAGGATTCATTAAAGGGTATCTAAGCAATCATTGAACCTGCAAGTAGGCCAACTGAACAAAATAGATATGTAATAACAGGTAAATTTATGACTGAATCATTGTGCCTTACACTGAAACTAACATCTGTTTAAGCATTAAACAGCTTTCCATAATCATGCAACTACTAGGGTTGGACAAAGAGACATTGATAGAAAGGGATGTGGCAGGAATTTATATAGTCTGCTTGGAGAGCCTGTATATAAATTTACTATATGGGGTGTACTTACAGAATGTTAGGAAAATGTGTGAAGGAGCATTATGTATTGATTTGTAAGAGTAATCAACCATGAACACTGGGCCTTATGTAAAGATGTACAGTACAAGTCAACTGGAAGAATCTTTTAGTTATTAAAGAATGGTTAGATACAATTTCTATCAGATTGGTAGAACAGTGTTACTTACATTTCTTATTCTGCTCCATTAACATTATTAATACTTAAGATTCATTAACATTGGACTCAAAATGAACTCACACAGCCCATCTTATTAATAGTTTCCTTGCTGGATTTAATCAGACTCAACCTGCCATTTGAATATCATTTATACACTGCTGTTTTATCATTTAAATCTAAATTATTTTTTTATATTTTTGTCTATAATAATAACACACATTTTCTTGTTAATTTTGGTAGTTTTATTTGTTAAAAAATTTGGAATTTATAATTCTGTTTGTTTAAAAATGTTTGAACTGACACATCTTGATAACAAACCATGTTCTTGTTTGAAAGTAGAAATGAAGCTGTTCTTTTAAGACAACAAAAACATTTATAAATAAAATAATTTTAGTAAAAATAATAATCACGTAGATAACTATTGCTTTATTCCAGTAAACTGTTACAAATAACAAATGTTTTCAAATTGCTTGAGTGCCCTGATTCCATGTGTTTCACTTAGAATGCTTGTTTTATTGCTTTCTACATTTGAACTTGATTCAAAATTTAAATTATTTTGGACATTTACACAATTTAAATTTACCAAATTAAACTTCACAATTCTATATAATTATATTAAACCCCATCATCATTCAATTGAATTATAATAATAAGCTTTTTTTCTTTGAATTATCATAAAAAGCTTTCCAAGCACTTCATAACACATCTGTCTCTCTCATATTAATGAAATCCTTTTTTAAGGCTGTTTTAAATATCTGCAATATCTCCATAACTATATTTCTTCTTTATTAAAACTGCTTGCTCAAGTTTATCTTTAATTCCTTTTCCAAGGCATATATGGAAAGCATTATTGTTTGTATCCTTTTCTCAATATCATATCTGTGTTCTTTAATCCTGCTGCTAAGAGATCTAAGATTCTGAGTTTTATTATAAGCATTACAACTATTGATAGCATGGAAGTCGGTCATATCTCAACAGATTACCTGTAGTGAAACCTTAATGTGGAGCAGAAAACAGTGATTTGTCTAAGGTTTGTTAACTGCTTTTTGCTAAAGAGACTTATCAAATGTCTCATGTGTTGCTTTTGTTGAGTTATTGGAAGAACTAAGAATAGGTCTCAGTTTGTGGTTCCTATGTATATCCTTTCCAAATCTGTCATCTGTTAATGGTATGCCATAAATTCTAGGAGCCCTGGTTCAATCTATGGTGTCTTTATCATTTTGCAACATTTGGTATAATGTGCTTTCTTCTTTGTAGTAGATTACTGGAATAAAGCAAAGGTTATCTATGAGATTATTATTGTACATTTTTCCTGTTTGAATTTTTTTTCCTTTTTTAATTAATAATTTTGGTATCCTGAAGAAAGCATCACTGTTATTATTATTATGGTCCCAAGTTTATAGTTTTAATCAACATACAACATTGATTTTTTTCTATTTTTATAAACTAACTAGCTGCAAGGACCTGCTTTGCTGGGTTTTTATTTGTATGTAATATAGTTTTTTGTATATATATAAAAGACTGTTTTTCTAAGTAATCTAGAATCTAGCTGCAAGGACCCGCTTTGCTGGGCAAAAAGTAACGATAGTGAAGATTAAGATAAATACATTATAGCTAATCTTACCCATTTTCACAGAATGCAAGAATTAGGTCCCCCGTTTCCAAACTAATTAGAGAATTTTTACGTTTAGTGAAACGAAGTATTTTCAACGTTTCTGGAACATTTACAATCGTTCTATAATCGAACCAATATTCAAATTTTATGTTCAAATTTAATTCGAACAAATTCGAACAAAACATTAGAAATAGAAAGCCACTTTTAGCCTCATATCTCCCGCACCCTTATAGCTATCAAGACGCAACCACCCCTATGCATGAATGGAGACTTGGGGCTACCACCACATACAAACACCATTCACGTGCGATGTGTAGTTTTTGCGGAAAAGTGAAATATAGGGACATACATGTCCATTTTTATATATATATATATATATAGATATAGATAAAGAATATATTTTATGAGCTGAAATAAGAAAGATGACTTTATTCTAGATCCAGTTTAGATCCTCTATTGTTTAGGTGTACATTACATGGTTTTATCAATTTTTAGATAGACAGTATTTATAAATTTATTACAGAAATAATTGATGATAAAAATTAAATTAATGGTTTTTTATTTATATAATAAAAAATCTGATTATTAATAATTTCAATAAAATTTTTAGTTGAAAATGCTTTAGTTTCTGATTACTATATTTTTAGTTGCCATTCATATTTATTTATATAGCAGTCTTTTCTAATTAATGTTGTTTGAAGTAAAAACTAATTTTTGAATAAAGATGTTTAATACCAAAGTGTATTGATAATTGCTATGCTTATTATAGATAAATAATTGTTAGAATTGATAATTTTTCCTGCATTTACTAGTATAAATGTAAGTTGTATTTAAAAATATATTACAATAAATACTAAAACAATAATTAAACTTTCTACTTAAAACAAAGATACAAAAATTTAAGGGAAATAAAATGCACTTTGCATGAAATTTTACAA